CCCCAAAACCCCAAAACCCCAAAACCCCAAAACCCCAACTTTCTGCAGATTAGTAGAAATTTATTGGTCGATTAATTACTAAGCTTCTCTGTTAACATTATTGGTAGTGTCCTCCTCCATATGGGTTCTGAGGGATAAAGGATGGGTTGTAAGGCGATCCAGTACTTCCAGGAGCCCCTGGTGGAGGTCCTGCTCCAGCATTTAGTTGCTCGATAATCTGGTCTTTCTCTACAGTTCTAGAAGCAACAAAGTCATTAACGTATAAGTGCAGACTTGTAAGATATGTATGCATTTGCTTATAGAATTTAGAACCATTTGAAAGAAGATTCATGTTTTCATAATACAATTTAAGACCTTCATCAATGCTTTTGAAGAATTCTATCTTAGATGTATCCGAAGATCCTGCTAAAGTTTGATTAAAACTCATCATGTTGGTATCGATCACAGATAAGAGCTCAGAAGACTTGATTTGTTGATCTTCGATAACCTTTGAGTATCCATTAATTCCTTGCAAGTGAGTCTCAAAGACACTATCCTTAGATTTTGTGCCAGAGTGGACAGACATCAAGTCTTTTCTAAGATCAGCAGACTCTAGCCCAGCAGTCATATGATTAATAGTAGTCTGTCTCTCTCTTTTCAGCTCATTCAGTTGTTCAATTGCTTGCTGAATATTCGTTACAGCTGGGGAAGAAGCTGCTTCGCTTTCTTGAGATTTTGGCATTTTCTGAGTGAGCTCATTTCTAGATAATTGGAGATACGCTATTTTTGGCTTTATAGTAACCATATTAGACTCAACTGTGGAATCAGTCTCAACAGCTTTATCTAAGTTGCTTTTATAAGAATCAATTCTTGTCTTGATCTCTCCGTTTAGAGCAGAACTTGGGAGTCTCTGCCAACTTGTGCCATGAGTTGCTCTCATATTTGAATCATCATTCTCTTCTCCAACAACTGCTGTCTCTCATTTGCCAACAATATCAAAACATGTCTTCCTATTTTGCTTCACTCCTGCCATCAGGTTCTCAAGGTACTGATAGTTTCCTCTCTGTTGGAAGTCACTTACTCTATTCCACAGGTCATCAGGAATCTCTTCTCTCGTAGACAAAGAATAGATCGCTTGAGGAAGTCCATGTGAGGCTAGGAATCCATCCTCATCAGCTGACAATTTCTGTAAGATTTCTAAATTTTGGTTGATGATCCGATTAGCTTCCTGTTGAAATTCTCCTTCTAATCTCCTGACTTCCATGGGTAAGAACACTTCAAAATTCTCAGCACCGACGAATGGTTGTTCTAGCTTCTCTTCAATGCTTCTGTACATGGTAAAGTTCTTGCTTTCGATCTTGGCTAGCTCGCGTTCAGGAGTGCATCCTTCATAATAGACATTGGAGTTAATTTTCTTGACATCTTCATACTCATTTTCGATTTGTTCTTTCCTATGCTTCAGTGCATCTTTTGTTCGTGTGTCATAGGTAGAAACTTTCTCCAATTTTGTTAAAGCGAGGAGGAGATGGCCTTCAGCGTTGCCCATTCCTCCACCATTTTCCTCAGCACCATCTTTGCACTCTCTACCTTTGAAGTAGTGAGCAATGGCTTCGTAGTAGGCAATGTAGAATGTTGTATTAGCCAGAAAACCTCATTTTGATAGAACTTTACTTGCCTTTCAGTAATTTCATGCCTCTTCAAAGAAGGATTTTAATTGGAAAGTAATTTTTGCACAGATGCCTGGCTTCATTCCCGCTGTCTCTGCCTTCTTGAAAAAGCAGAACTGGGATTGAGCTAGCTGTATAGTGGAATTGAAAAGGAGGTTCTCTACAGTGAAGTCGTGAGATCTTACTGAAGGCTTTAACCCTTCAGTAGTCTTTTTCATGTGATCAAACAGCCAGGCAGCTTCTTGGAATTTTTGTGAAACTGTTTTGATAGCATCTCCTTCGAGAGGAGTGTAAACTCCGATATTGTTCAGCACTGCTCCAAGGTTGTACAAAACTGAGTTTAGTTCGAGCTGCAGATCATCTTTACTAGCTTTCTTTTCACCTGTTTGGGAATCTTTCCATGGGAAGCTAAGCTTGACAGTATCATCTTTAGCTCCAAATGAGAATTTCTTCTCTATAAAAGACATGCCAACATAGTATGCAATGAGGATCTTCTCGTACTTCTCGAGACAGAGAACATCATCGTAGGATTTCATACCTGCGATCTCACTTCTCAATTCATGAAGTTCAGTGATCTGGGACTTGATAGCATCGAACTCTCTTGGGCCGAAGTTCCTGACCACATACTTCTCAATAGCATCAAAAAGTGGGATTTCCTCGGTTTGTCGATACAAAATAGGTAACATCTTAAAATCTTAAAGACAAATATTATTGTTTTCTTATAAATTTAGAGGGGTTTTGGGGTTTTGGGGTTTTGGGGTTTTGGGG